AACCACATGCCCTCAAGAGCAGAACAACAATTTTGCAAAACTCCTATGTGGCGCATGCGCATTTGCGTGCGGGTGAGATTCTTTTCGCGTGCGCGTATTTGCAATGGTTTCTCGTCAACTGCCGGACTGCCTCTACATGCAACATGGACTCCGTGAGGCGCGAGCGGCTCGACCTCCATCAATTCCCAAGTCATCTCCTGTGAACGTCATATCGCCACTGGCATTGCTTGAAAGAGCCGATAGCGGGCCAAGGCCTTTCTGATGCTTTTACAACGGCTGACTGCAGCGGCAGTGACATCCTCAACTCGGAACGACACATCAACTGGGCTGTGTTCTTCTCACCTTGGAGATTCAGGATATTCAGGCCCATTCTTCGTGCCCGAGGTGTAGTGTAGCCCTCCTGTAAGAACGCTGGAAGAGCATTTGCGCACCAGGGCACTTGGGGTCTTACAGTCCCGACCGGCCGGACCCAAAGTTTCGCAAGAACTTGGGCTGGCCAGAAATCACAGTTGCATTACTGAGGGTCATGTCCCTCCGTGCTGTTTGTGCATAGGCAGCCTAGGCATGATGAAGAGCATCAAGATCATCAGAGAAAGCACAGCAAAGAGTTGCCAGTGAAAGCACGCCTTCAGTTCTGAAACCCCTGGAACCAACACCTCGTTACGTTCCCGTGCAATGGCCCAAGTCACGAACCCCACAAAGCCTGTCGTTATCAGTCTAGATCGCGCACTCGAGATCCAGAGATTTTGGATGTCAGGGTTGCTGAGATCAGCACGAACATGTTCAAAGATTATGTCTATGCTGAGTAGGATGCGTGGGCAAGAGGCTGGCTCACCTTAAGGGATCTTGCGGCTTTGACATGGACAACAAGCAAGTGTCTAGTGCAAAGCGTCATTAGCACGACCTATTCACTTCCATCCGGGGGTGCACAAGGCCAAGTTGCAAGCCAGAGACCTAGTCCGCAGTGGACATGGGACAAGGAGTTGTGCCAGTGCAGCTCCCACACGATCGATTTAATTCTGCTCAGCCTACTGGGAGATCGTCAACCTTCACCGCGATAGATTTATCCGGTTAAGATGCAAGGTCTCATCACGAGTGCCAAGGGATCTTCCCCATTCTTCGATGCCTTAGTCCACAAGTATCAGTGAAGATGGGACGGTTCGGCAGCTGGGCAAATCTAGAGCTTCTATAGCAGCCGGCTACCTGATTTAATATATCAAATTCTAAATCAGATGTGAGTGAGTCTGCAGGAATGTGACGTAGGCACTGGTAAGTGAGATTCTTTGGTGAGTGCGTTACTTTTCCGGTGGGCCGCACAACGGGATGTTCATATATGGATGGGTTTATATTGATGAGTTTCAAAGTCCCTAATAATCCGCTGGAACCACATGCCCTCAAGAGCAGAACAACAATTTTGCAAAACTCCTATGTGGCGCATGCGCATTTGCGTGCGGGTGAGATTCTTTTCGCGTGCGCGTATTTGCAATGGTTTCTCGTCAGCTGCCGGACAGGTGATGTTGACGGATTTCCATAAACAGTCAGTAAGTCAATATTCCAAGAGACAGTCGGCGACTATAAGCCAGTAGCAATGCTTGGTGCTCCAAAGACAGACCAATTCTTGGCACCCACCTTGTCACATGGTGTGCACGCATGTCCATGGTCAGAAGTCGATTTGCCTGTCATAGCTTTGCGGTACCAGCGGCATTTTTAGAAGCTTTTACATAGAGGTGCATACAAAGTTGCCCAAGTCATTCCAAGTTGCTGAGGACCTCGCAATACAGTAGATCCAAGCCGGAAGAAGCTACTGAACGAGATGCTGGAGACACGTGTGCTCTAAGGTGGGGCTTGCGGCTCTACCTTGGAAATTGCAGTGCCAGATGTTCGATGCAAGCCTGAGCGTGGCTAGCTGGTGCTACAGAGTCGTTTGAACCGCAATGTCCTAAGCAAAACTTGAGCTTCAAGCAGAGCTTGAGTCTCAAACTCTTGGCAGAGCTTGAGACGTGGACAGCCTTCAGGTGTAATTCATCAAGCCTTAAAATAAAACGCTTGACGCGTCTAACTTAGAGGTAAGCCCATGACATGAAGTTGCCCAAACCCACACACATTCCAAGTTGCTGATAACTTTGTGCTACTGTAGATCCAAGCCAAAACAAGCTACTGAACGTTCCGGTTGTTTTCAAAAGTGTTGCTGAGGCTCCATCATTGGAAATAGCAATGTCAGATGTTTGATGCAGGTTTGAGCACGGCTAGCTAGTGCTACAGGTTCGCTTGAGCAGCCATGCCTCAAGCAAAACTTGAGTTTCAATCAGAGCTTGAGTCTCAAACTCTTGGCAGAGCGTGTCATGCAGGCAGCCTTCAGGTACAATGACAACCTTTAGGGCCCCACTGAACTTGATGAGAGAAGTGCATGCCCAGAACTGTTTGAGTTTGAGTAGTAACCTTGATAGCGCAGCGCAAGGAAGATGTAATCACACACAGCAAGCAATACAATAGGCACTCAACACTCTCATCCAATGCAGTCCGGGTGACTCGATCCGTCCAAGCCTTTCTCTCGGTGGGTCGCAAGGGACTAGACAGAAAGTTGGGTAGTCGGAGTCGAACACTAGGCATCGCTTCTAGTAACAGGTGCCACGCTAGTAGTAACAGGTGCCTTACTAGTAGTAACAAGAAGCTACTAGTAACATGTTTCTCGCATGTTCCGGACACAGAGCTGCAGGTCCTGTGCCGTGAAGCGAACAGAGGTCAGACAATGAAAGGCCTTTTGACTCGGTGTACAGTCAAGTTTGCTCCAAGGGTCGCTCCAAGGTCAAGTTTGCGTGAGACTTTTGGCGCACATTGCGCCAGCCTTATTGTGTGCACCACACGTGACATGCGAATACACGCTTCTCGTGTGTTGCTGTACCACTCATGAATGCCTACTTGTGGAACTTGTGTTGTGCCAGACGCTTCCAACTTCCGACATTCACTTGAAGCAAACTCCCTGCAAAAGAGCTTGCGGACGCTTCTGTCCAGAGGGTTTGCAAGCACGCGACAGGCCTTTGCGGGAACAGGTTGAGAGCCACCTGAGTGCTCCTTGTGTCGTCACCCCCAGTCCCACCTTGTCAGAGGACACTTTCTAGTTGCCACAAGTTGCTGATGGCCTGATGGCAAGTTGAGACATTGTCAGTCTCAAGACCGGCCCTGAGAGGGATTCCAATTTGCTTTCCATGTTTGACTTCATCACACAGACGTTTCTGCAAATGGTGCTGGTGGGCTCTAGTACGTAGCCCTCTGCCAACGGCCACAGATGGCAACAGTTCCGTTCAGTGATGTTTTTGCTCTTTCTACGGCGACAGTGCTCTTGTCGGAAGACTTTGGAAATGAGATCCATTGCAGAAGATCTTCAGTGACTGTGACGTTGCTTTCAGGCTTGTGCTTTTCACCACGGTCCTTGTTGACAGCAAGACTTGAGGGAGACTCAAGAGTGCATGCAAGAGTGCATGCAAGAGTGCATGCAAGAGTGCATGCACGTGTGCACGCGTGTTTATGTGCATTCAAAAACAAGACTGCTCTTGTTCATGGTTATTTCAAATTTTCTTATCTCATTGATTCGCGGGTTGGGCTGCAGGCGTGCACTCTTGATAAATTGGTGACAGGTTCGAGTGACTTCTGGGATGCTCCACGTAGTGTTCCACGTGACGTCCTAACCTCACTTGCGAAACTACGTACTACCTGGCACCAGTGCCAAAAGAGTTTTCTAAGTGCGACTCTTCCAAATGATTGACACACCTTGATTTCGACACTCCATGCATGGCACATGAAGTGTCATGCTTTGCACCATGACGAGACTGAAGATGACGCAAGCGATTTCGGAAGGTGCAATGGTTTTCAACACCCGAGAATCGCACATTTTCAGCGTGGGCGTTTGGTACATGGTTCCTTTGATCGCAGAAGGTTGCCTGGAAAGCGCCCTGGATGGATAAGGAATTTGTTGTCAGGTGATGTTCGTTCGCTCTGGGATGTTTGTTTCGTGGTGGTTTTGGATGATTCAACGCTTGGACTGGTTGCGTTCCCCTCTTTGGAAACGTTTGTGTTCGATGCTGATTTGCTTTGGCCGCAGAACAGATTCTGTGGGTACTGAGTACTGAGGTTAAAGAGGTCCACGACCATGTGCTGTACTAGCGCTTGGACGCCTTGAAGCTAGGACGTGTTTGCACATCTCTGATGTCTCAGTTCCTACTGTTGCCTGACCGTGCATTCCGTGGCAGTGGAAAACATGTGTTTTTTTTAATTTTGTTTACTTTCAGGAGGTTGCGGTTTGCACAACCTTGTCACATGTTTTTACCACGCTGATGCTTCAGCTATTGATTGACTCTATATATACACCGTATTCTTTCACCTCGCCCTTTACGCAACGGTGGTAAAGTAGTACATACCTGTTGGATCAGCGTTGATTTTTTTGTAATTCTACCATTGCCCTGTGTACCCTGTACTTTGAAGATCTTTGAAGTAGCGAGAGAGATTTGTAGACTTTTGCCATCAGACTGATTTTCATCAGACCGGGCCACATTGCCTGCAGACAAGTGTTGTTTCAAGCGCAAATCGCAAGTGGAGCTCTCACACAAGAGACCTCCAACTATCTTGACCGACGTAACACTGGCAGAAGATTGGCTGGCGGAATGTTCTCATTTGTTATCCCTCGCTAGCATCTACCTCAAATCTACTGTAGTAAAGCATTTGAAATTCAGAACATAATTAGACGATTTCCTACTTCAGCCCGAAATGAAAGCGAAACCAGGCACCTGTAGCAATGTCGATTAATACTTTCTTGATTTTTGTGTTTATTTGGCCCCAGCAAGCGTCCGGTTGTATTGAAGCTAGCATCTCTTTAGTTGCATCAGATGGAGTGGATGCTCAGAAAAGTAGAGCACTTTTTGCAAGAGCAACATCATACGTCATACAGTAACAGTAGCCAGCAGGTAGCAGACGCTTTAAAGTCATCAAGTGGCCAATCGGTTGCTCTCCACTTGATAGAACTTGGATGTACGAGACGGGGGCGGTAATGCAGAGCCATGACCATGATGAGTACTTTTACGATCCTGATGAAGCAGACGACGATGCAGATGAGGAGTCGGACCACGAGTACTTCTCAGCGTGCTTGACTCAGGAGCGGCCTTTTGAGCAGGAATTCTGATTCACTGGCATATCAGATGAATGCGTATATATATATATATATTATATATATATATACAACTATGTACTAGTCTACACGCAGCCTTCTTAATACAGATCAAGTCACATTTTCCGGACCCATGATGTTGTTGCATGAAGAACAAATATGTGAAACATAAATTTGACTGTACATCCATTGGGCCGTGCGCCTTTGAAACACTGTTCGCATGAAATGGAAGGACTCTTCTTGTATACCGTATATAATGCATCCCAAGCAGTTTTACTGTTGCGGTTTTCTCTTAGGGAACAATCACGAAACAGTTTACTGTTGGGGTTCTCTCTTGGGAAACATCTCCCGAACAGTTTACTGTTGGGGTTCTCTCTTAGGAAAACGTCCTGGAACAGTTTACTGTTGGGGTTCTCGCTTAGGAAAAAGTCACCACAGTTTACTGTTGGGGTTTTCTCTTGGGAAACAATCCCGAACAGTTTACTGCTGGGGTTCTCTCTTAGGAAGATCCCCGAACAGTTTCCTGTTTGGGGTTCTCTCTTAGGAAAAATTCACCAAACGGTTATATAACTGTTAAGGTTCTCTTTTAGGAAAAAAAACCGAACAAATTCATGTTGGGGTTCTCTCTTAGGAAAAAGTTCGGCGAACAGTTTACTGTTGGGCTTCTTTCTTCGGACAATTTCCCCAAACAATTTACCTGTTGGGGTTCTATCGTAGGACAAATTCCCCGAATAGTCTACTGTTGGTGTTCTCTCTTGGAAATTGCCTAGAACAGTCTACTGTTGGGGTTCTCTCTTAGGAAAAATATCCGGAACAGGTTACTGTTGGGTTTCTCTTTGAGAAAAACTCACCAAACAGTTTACTGTTTGGGTTCTCTCTTGAGAAAAAAAGTCGACCGAAAATTAACCAAACAGTTGAATGTTGGGTGCTCTTTTAGCACAGGTTCACCAAACAGTTTACTGTTGGGGTTTTCTCTTAGTAAGCTCATGAAACAGTTTATTGTTGGGATTCTCTTAGGGAAAATTCACAAAAAACAGTCTACTGTTGGGGTGGTCTCTTAGGAAGAATTCATTAGTTAGCTGTCGGAATTATCTCTTAAGATAAAATTTCAATCAGTTTGCTGTTGGGGTTCTCTCTTAGGAAAAGAAGACTGTGGCCAGTTTCTGGCCGCACCGCCGAACCTTGTGTGTCCTGTTGTCTTCTTCTTGTCCTCCAGTTGTTGTTCTCCTGTTGCCCTCTTCTTTCGGGTCTGTGTGTCCGGCTTGGCCGCGCCATAGGCACTGCGTTGTCCTTCTCCAGGTCTGTTGGCCGCGCCGCCTTGTCCAGGCCTGGCCTCGTCCAATGCTTGTCTGGGTCGCGTGTCCTGTGTCTTTCTTCTCCATAATTGATATATTGTATGCTCACCCCTCCTTCCGGAACCTAAATTCAGATGTCTGTATGTAGGTGGTTGGGCAAATAACTAGAGATTTGTGCCAGGTGGCTTACACATAGTTTCCAGATGATTATATACATGCTTGTTCCAACGGTGTGACATATAGGGGTTGGCATATAGATGGCACAAATAAAAGTATACTCCATGATAATCATCCGTGAGGTGTAGGGAGGGTGAGTAGAACTTAAAGATGGCGCACCATGTGGAATAACATGGGCCCACCACCATATTGATGGCACATGCGTAGCATATGCAGGCCATTTGTTGAGAATTGGCAAGCATTAACATGGAAGAGACATGCAAGACCAGGGATGAATGTAGGAGAGCTAAACTGGCACGAGAGAGGGGATGGGAAGGGAGACATGAAGGGGAGGAAGGGAGAGAGAAGAGAAAAGAAGAGAGAGCAGACTAACGTGAAAGAACATTCAGAAGAGAGGAAAGAGCAGAGCAAGGAAAAGAAAAGGATCTAAAAGACAAAGGAAAGAGGAAAAAGGTCTGCTTGAGCAGCGCCTCCAGGAACAGTGCACCCAGCTCTCGCTTGAGGCCATCCAGGAGTCAGCAGAAGCCCATAGGCAAGAAGCCGACCAGGGCCCAGACCCTCACCGAGATCTTGAAGCTTCAAGCAGAACATCCACCCACACGGAACGAGCACACTTTCCAGCAAACCACCGGCTACATCAAGTGTGGCAAATGTGGAATGTCTATACACAAACGAGCCAATGAAGAGGCCTTCAACAGCTTCATGAACAGTGCCTGCATTGATGAGCAATACAGCCAACCCCACGAGGGCCACAAAAGCCACCAGTTCTGGCAGACCGGCAACCGCATCCACTGCCGCTCATGCGGTATTAAGGCACACCTCGATGCGGATGGCAGAATCATCCTTTCTGCAAACCTCAAACGGGAGTGCAAAGGGGCAGCCACCCGTGGCTCTCCAGATCTCAAGGAATGGTTCCAGGCTACAGCCGGTAAACAGACTGAACACCAACAAGACTCCCCCCTGCGAGCACAGTTCAAGAAAGGCGGCAGGGAGTGACCTACTCTCCCCACCAGCACCACGGTGCATGTATGTAATGTAATGTAATGCAATGTAATGCAATGCAATGCAATGTAATGTAATGTAATGTAACGTAATGTAATGTAATGTAATTTGTAATGCAATGGAACGTAAGGTAAGGTCCGTAATGTAATGGTATGGATGTATGGATGTATGAATGAATGTATGTATATGAGGATCATGACCTTTGATCGGCCCGCAGCTTCGAGGCCTCAAACCCTGCATGCCAGAACGTCTGGCTGTAGGAGCAGCGGGCGGTAGTGCCACCTCTGCCCTTTTGATCTCCCTCGCCCAGGGCTTTTTGAACAACCAAGGTCCTGTGATCCCTGAGGAACTGTTTTGTGACTGCCCTAATTTCAGGACTCCTTTTGGAAATCCAGGTTGGGAACTTTTCATCGCTGGCCTTCTCTGCGGACTTTTGTTAGGCCCCTTCTTGGATATCTGCCTGATTGTTCGCGGCCGGTGGCGGCGCTTCGTGCTTTCCTGCCTGACCTCCCTGTGGGGCGGACGTGAGGCAAGGCAATACTACAGGATCGTTCATGAGTGATCGGCTGAAATCTAGCATCAGAGACTTACGGATTGAACTCCAAGCTGTCACTCGGCAACTCGCTTCGATCTCCGAGCGCCTTGGCTCCTTGGAGAGTGAGACTGAGGAGGGGTTTTGTGTTGTGTCGCAAGATTTGGTTAGCCCCCGGAATTACCCACAAGAGCCTACGGGTTCAGAGGTTGCGCACTCGGCTGGATATCAGCCGAACGATCCTTCAGGGTCCAAGGGACAGAGCTGGGCTGACCGGGAGGAGATCTCTAGGCAGATTGGCACCTTCTTGAGGAGGGCATTGAACGGTGAGATCCGCGGCCCCAGTGGTCGCGACAGGATCAAGCAGAGCTCCAAGTACTACATCGTGGTCAAGGACTATCACGGCCGTGTGTACACCCATCCAGCGAAGATCTTTACTCGCTGGGGAGAGGTGAAAGCCATTTGCTGCAGCGCTCACGGTGAATTTGGTGATAGTGTTTTTGTGGGGCTGCCCTCGCTTCGCGAGGTTCGTGTCGCCTTGAGGAGTGGTGGATTCAGCGCGCCTGAGGACGCGCCGGATGAGCAGTAGAGTTGAGGCAGAAGCAAGCCGCCCTTCTGATCTTCCTGGCCTGGAGGCTGACGAGGAGCGGGGTTCCGAGAGCCCGGGGCTCTCTTTTGTTTCCGTTGAGGGACATACGAACTTTCACTACGAACCGGGTAGACTTCTCCTAGCAGACGAGTTTTCCTGGATTTCATTAATCCCTATTGCAGAGCAGAACAATTCATTTTTAGCTGCGTTCCCTCGAAGAAGTCTGGAATCGTAAGGTCTCCCTTAGGCTGCTTCCAGCAAAGGCCCTGACTCGGCCGGTGCTATGTTCCGTTGCAGTCTGCCACAAAGGGGCTCGAGAGGAGCCCGAAGACGTCTCGCAGATGAAACTTTGGGTAGGCATTTTGTCACCCGAGCTGGTGGACCTGATCGACTTTTCAGCAGACGCTCCAGTGGATTATCCTTTTACTGGAGTTGGACTCGAAGATTTTTCTCCCTTTTGCCCAAGGCCTGATAGATTTGGTGTCCGAGAAGTTCGACTTTTTCACAGCCGAATCGGAGCTTCCCACCGCGACAGGACCAGCATCTGCCCCTGGAGGAGTTGCAAGCCGTTTGACTCAGCTGGAGGCCGGTCTCTCCGAGATACGAGAAGTTCTACAAGAGTTGAGCCGGAATTCACAGAGAACTCCTTCTCAGTCGCCTTCTCGGGACCGAAAACTTCCTCGAAGGCCTTCTTCGCCGGCTCCTGCCATTCGTCCGGGAGCTCTGAGAGGAGGAAGAGAGAGGAAGGTCTCATTCGTTGGCTTGGATCCTACCGTCGTGGATGCGGCTCTTCAAGCTGGTGTTCCAGAGACCCACCTAGAGCAGATGTCAGGACTTCTTCAACAACGAGGGTCAAAGATGGGAGACCTGCCTCGTCCCTCTTCCCGGAAGACTGTCGACCCGCTCTCCGATTCCGAGGAGGAAGCCGAAGAGCTGGTTCCAGATGGCGCGGATGGTTTGGCGGGCAGCTCATCAGACGGTGGGGTTGCCAAAGCGATTGTGAAGCTGACGAAGGTTTGCTCCCACCTGGCCTCGCAGAAGAACAGAAAGAAAGTCCGACCCCTTGGACCACTTGTTAGATCTTGGCCAAGGCAGCGAAGGAGTCTCCGAAGGTTCTGGATTGGGAAGCTCAAAGAAGGCTGCTGCCCTCAGAGCTCTGAAGAAGCAGCTGACGGAGAACCCCAAGACCTTGTACGAGAGCATCGAATCCAACTTGCACTCCGACTTCACGGCTCGACAGATTCGTCCTGGAGAACCCTCGGCTGGAGGCACAGCCAGGGGATGGCTGGAAGCGAGATCTCGCGTCCAGAATTTCACTGGCCATGTCAGGTGGTGTTGGCAAGTTGCAGGTATTTGGGATGCTCTCATGGCAGACCGCCCGGAGGAAGCGAGA